TGAGATATCAAAAAAGTACTCCAGAGTGTTGTTCAGCATGGGGGTGAGTAGAAAATGAAGGCTAATCATGTTTTGGGTGTACTATTCCTTTAAGGCCTCAGCAGATGGCCGCTCACACTGAGCCTGGTTCTGCTGGAGATTTCTTCCTGTTTAAAACAAGTTTTTCCTCTACGTTGTCGCTACAAGCATGCTTAGTGTGAGGGATCACCTTTGAGTCAATGAGTCGATGCATTTAACTGGTTTTCCTTAGATAGAAAACTTTGAATCAATCTGACTGCATGATCTGCTGAACTGTAAAGTGCCTTGAGATGACATGTTGAGAATTGACGCTATGTAAATAAACGGAATTGAATCGGCTCTACTGTTCACTACACATTCGTCTAGATTTTCAGCTTTATAGAGAACAAAAACATCACACTAATAATGTAGTGGTTTAATGCATTGAATATTATACACCTGGTTTTAAAGGGTTAAAGAATAGACATGGCTTAGTTTGCTTTTTCAAAAGCTTACTATGTCTTAAATTTACATAAAGTTCAAAACCAGATGAAATTCAGCATTACTGTATGTTTCCTTTAAACCTCACCAGTTGGATAGACTGTCTACCCTCATACATTTTCTATCTTCTGACAGTGATTGACAGTTTTCAGCATTTTATTTTGTTTCTTCTGGTGTTAAACATAATTATACAGAGACCTTGATAATTTCTCTTAGTAGATTCAATTGCTTCTTTTCGCTAAGCTACCAAAGCCACAATAGTAAATCTTCTCAGATTTGCAGTTCATTAAACTTAAACAACTCACTCATCATATCCATTTCTCATTTGTGTTTATTTCATTTAAGAAATATCCCTAAAAAAGAGACCAAGGTCTCTCAAGCACAGCTAGATAACATCATCCCTGTGTTTCATACAATCTAGATCACTTTAAAGGCATTTTAATAGGTCTTCAATTTCATGCAGCTAAGAGTAGCCATACTTTTTAAGAAATACCATAAATTGTGGTAATTCACTGTAGGTTTTTTTGTTCAGTTTTGGTTCTTATTTTTTGCAGCTTTTCTGTTGGGGCAGTCTCCATGGCTCCTCCTGGGGTTCCAGCTGGTCTAGTGAACCCGTCCACAGGGGCTTTTTTGAGCATTCAGCTTTCTGGTGGACCATTCTCTACAGCTCTTCAGATGGTATCAGTGACCCCAACACTTCGTCTTCTGAGAGTCTTTTCCTTCACAGGGTTCCAGACTGCTTTAACTACGGGTTCCCAGAACTCATCTAACTTCACTCATTAGCAGTGATGCGAGTGGGCCCCTCTTTCCTGTCTTAAAATCTGGATTTTTTTTCCATCTGCCCACGTGCCCAACACTGCTCATGTGTTAGGTAACATCTGAAATCTATTGCCATGCTGGAATTTACCTATATAGGGCTGTTTCATTTTAGTGGACTGGGAACATACAGTATGCTTTCCACAAGTTCTACAGAACACAAATCCTTTTTCT